CTAGCACTCTGCACACAATATAGAAACACAAAAACTATATGTGTAATGAATGATGGAATAAAGTCTTGCCTATCCCACCCACATCTCTGCTACGTTCATCCCCACCATTTACGTCCATTGTGGTCATATTAATATATCTTGATGGTCCATCACAGTTTTTAAGTAGCGTATTCTTTTACACACATTAAGAATTAACTCAGTAAGGAAAATAGAACAGGGATGACCCCCAAATTAAGGAAAAAAAAAACAACCCTGAAGCTGACAGAAATAACCAAGCTAGAAAGTGCCAAAATCTAAATCTAAGATCAGGTTTTGGGAAACGCAGCGATGTCTGACCCCAGTGATACAGGTAGACGAAGTTCACAGGTGAAGGGCACAGCGCTCACAGGGTTGCCCTCGCTTCAGTCACCAGTCACGAGTTCGGGGATCCCACTACCTCCTCAAGATAATTTGTTAGAAATACTCACAGAACCCAGGAAAGCACTGTACTTACAATTAAAGGTTTTTTTTTTTTTAAAGATTTTATTTATCTGAGACAGAATGAGAGAGACAGAGAGCACATGAGAGGGGGCAGGGTCAGAGGGAGAAGCAGGCTCCCCGCGGAGCAGAGAGCCCAATGCGGGACTCGATCCCGGGACTCCAGGATCATGACCTGAGCCGAAGGCAGTCGTTTAACCAACTGAGCCACCCAGGCGGCCAAAGGTGTTTTTTTTAAGATTTTATTTATTTATTTGAGAGAGAGCATGAGTGGGGGGAGGGTCAGAAGGAGAAGGAGAGGAAGAAGCAGTGGAGCCCCACTAAGCGAAGAGCCCAACACGGGGCTCGATCCCAGGACCCCAAGATCGTGACCTGAGCCGAAGGCAGACGCTTAACGACTGAGCCACCCAGGCGCCCCCCAGTGAAAGTTTTATTATAACAAAAGGATACAAATCAGAACCAGCCAAAAGAAGAGACAGATGGGGTGAAATCTGCAGGGCCCAAACACAAAGCTTCTCATCATCTGTGGAGTCCTGGATGGCATTACCTCCTCCTGGTTACAATGTGGGACAATCCTCGAGTGTTGCCAACCAGGGACCCTTAACCAAGTCCTTGGAGTCCGGAGCTTTTACTAGGGCTCAATCACACACTGCCCACACTGCTGACCCACAGTGTTCAGCTCCTCTGGAGGCTGGAACTGATACAGCATGTTCCAAAGCTGTCACAAATCACACCGTTAGACTGTCCAGTCGCCAGCCTCAGCCTCAGAGCAAAGACGCCCCTATGAAGTGGAACATTCTAGATGCCTAGAGATCACCTCCCGGGAGCAGAGGGCAAAAGTCATAGCTCTGCTTCAACTCTTCCCTTTTCTTTGCGTAAAGTTAATTCTTCACTATATAGAGGAGTTTTGCTCTTCTTCTTTTTTTTTTTAATTCCAAATCTAGCGCTCTGAAGGTACTGTTCTGTCTAATCTTTGATCTCTAAGTCGTTGCCCCATCCCTCCTCTCTTAGAATCTGCTCCAGGTCACATTTGCCCTGGAGAACTAAGAAGGATGAGCAGACCAATAACCAATTATGGCCCCAAAATAGCAAGAGGACTTCTGTAAACAAAGTCTTCATTATCAAGCAAGAAATATGCTGTTTACAAAGGAAATTATTACAAATTCTCTTTTTTTCACATGATGTTGTGGTATCTGTTAGCAAGGAAAAGACCAGACAATGCTGGACAGTGACATCAAAGTAACAGAATACCGAAATCCACTTGACATCCTCTGCTGATACACAACACGGCAGCCTGTAATCCCCTGCCGGTCAGTATGCCAAGAAAATGCCAGTTACTTACTGGCATGGAAAATTCAGATGATTTTCACTGATGGGGGGCAGGGTTGTGTGTGTTACACACACACGGGTATGTGTGTATGTGACTTCCTTCTCCCACTTTTTACAAAAGTCAATTGTGATTATTACCTTTTGAGGAAAAGTTGTCACCATGCTGTCATTAAAAACCATTTATTAAATCTCCAAATTGCAAACTATGTTATATCTTTGACTGTAACTGTTTATTTACTTTTCTTGTAACTAGATGCTGACCAGTTTACCAAGGTACTCAATAAATGTTTTGTAATGAATGTCTACACAAGGTTATCTAATTTGAATTTTAGAAAAAGTTACAAATGTACAATAAAAGCATAATAAAAAGCCTAATAACATTAACGAAAGTATAAAAAGGGCATTGAAGTTGTTGACCAAAGAGTCGGGTTCCCATTCTGGCTCTGCTCCTTACTGGGTGTTTAACCTTGGGCAGGTCTCAATTCCTAAATCTATTTCCTCATTGCAAAGTGGAATTACTCCTATTTGCTCTGCTTACCTCATAGGGTTATCGTAAGAGAGAGCTCATGCTCTCTCTCTCTGACAAATAAATAGAATCTTTAATAAAATTATTTTAAAAGTGACATACATTTTACTAGGATGTAAAATATGACTGGGGAAAACTGGGAAAACAGACACGAGAATCGCAAGCCTAGGCAGACTGAGAGCAGGGCTGTTATCTCTCACCTCATCAGTCCTGTAAGTAGTCTAGAGGAGACCTATTCCTGATCTCTGCTGTTTATTATTTCTGTGTCTTCTCTGAGTCTCAGTTTCTTTACATCAATCTCTCTGAGCCTGTTATACCGCCCACTACCTGGGAATCAAATATGCCTTACTTACTCTGGATGGTTTCCTGGAGGCTTATATGAGACCACTGTTGCTAAGGTCTCTTTGCCAACCACAGAGTGATATACAATTTGGTAATATTTTCCTAAAGGTGATAGGTAAGAAATTTGGTAATATTTTCCAAAAGGTGATGAACTTTCAGGAATTGTTTAAATAAAGCACACAGGCTGAGGCTTACCTTGGCCACTGGCAGGCACATCCCAGGAAAGAATAGATTATGCTTCACTGTCTTGGATTGGATCACATATTGCCTTGTACAAATTCCATTCTGTGAAGGCCTTGGAAAAAGTAAAATAGGCCCATTCATATCCATTGGCTTATTAACCTTCTCAGTACTTGTGCCAACCAGGACTAATTATGCCCATTTTACTGATAGGGGAACTGAAGCTGGAGACTCTCAAAATCATGCAACTGAAAAATGGGTACATCCGGGATGAACTCTTCCAACAGCAGTGGGAGAGGACAAATGGGCTTAGATGAAAGGGCGTGGCCTTACACAGATGGCCCATTTCTCATTCTCCCCTGACATAAGTTTCTATTCAAGCCATCAAACCTATTTTCTGTCTTTTACAGATCCTTCATGTTTCTCACTCCGGCGAGGGTGCCCAGAGAAACAACTACGATAGCCGGCAGATTTAGATGCAATAGCCACCTGGGTGGCTCAGTTGGTTAAGCGTCTGCCTTGGCTCAGGTCATGATCCCAGGGTCCTGGGATCGAGCCCCGCATCAGGCTCCTTGCTCAGTGGGGAGCCTGCTTCTCCCTCTCCCTCTGCCTGCTGCTCCCCCTGCTTGTACTCCCTCGCTCTCTCTGTCAAATAAATAAATAAAATCTTAAAAAAAAAAAAAAATAGAATGCAATAGGGTGACAGCTATGGAGGGGCAAGAAGGCATTTCTATGGGAGGGGAATGTGGTCAGTGTTCACACCTCTTCCCCTGAAAGATCTCTAATTGCTGACGAAGTGGGGTACCGCCTGTTAGAAATGCCCAACTCTTAAGTCACATTCTGAATCTACAACACAGACTCGAAGGTCTGCATAAACACCCACTGCTCTCCCACCTCTGCGCTCATAGATATATCACCTTCAGGCTTAGGCAAGTCAAGAACAGCTCCTCAGTCACAAAAATGCTAGGGGTCCCTGTTCATGTGTAAACCTCTTTTCACCACCTAGAATTCTTCCTTCGTTAATTCATGTGTCTGCTCTTATTTAAAATCTAACTCAAATATCAAAAACTGGAAACAGCCCTGAAGTCCATCAGTTTGGAAACCAATATAAATAATGATAACACATTAATTCAATGGACCATGAAGCAATCATTAAAAAGAATAAACTGCCAAAAGACAATGTTTCAGTGAATTGGTAAAGGGAAGAGCAGGGTGCATAGTGTGTTCCCCTTTTTATAAAAAGAGAGATATTAAATATTTTAATATTTATTTTAATACAAATAAATATTATTTTTGCAAAACTATTAAAAAGAACAGGCATACCTCTTTTTATTGTGCTTTGCAAATATTGCCTTTTTTTTTACAAATCAAAGGTTTGCAGCAACCCTGCATCGAGCAAGTCTAAGGGCACCTTTTTTCCAACAGCACTTGCTCACCTCATGTCTCTATCACATTTTGGTAATCCTCATGATATTTCAAACTTTTTCATTATTATTGTATTCGTTATGGTGATCTGTGATCGGTGATTACAACTTGCTGAAAGCTCACATAATAGCATTTTTTTTTTTAAAAGATTTTATTTATTTATTTGACAGAAAGACACAGTGAGAGAGGAAATACAAGCAGGGGGAGTGGGAGAGGGAGAAGCAGGCTTCCTGCTGAGCAGGGAACCCGATGTGGGGCTCGATCCCC